ACAAAACAGAATCCCTCTGGAGGTGGGTAGGCAGGAAGGGATTTTATTTCTATTTTATTTATTTATTTATCTTATGTAGTTAATAAAAAAATAATAAATAATAATAATAATAATAATAATCTTAACCCATTCGCCCCAGATTTATGTTCTGTCCCCTGCAGTTTTTGGTGAATTTTGTTACATAAAGATGGCTGCATGTGTGCTCAGCCACCAAGGAGTCTATCAGTAGTTCTAGTTACTGATTCTGATTTTCCCATTCCTTGAACTGCGGGAAAATGTGTTTTCCTTATTAATACCATTGCTATCGATATTGTTATTATTGTTATTGATGTTATGATTATTAACCCATTGCCGCCGGGGAAAATGAACAAACAATGGGGGAAATGCAGTACTCATTTCTATATTTTTGTGAAATATCTCTGTCCATTGATGGCTCTGCTAGTCCTGATTTCACCTTTCCTTGAATTGGTGGGAAAAAACGTATTCTTACTAGTGCTATAAATATAGATGATGTTATTTTTAACAGCAAATTAGGATAATGTTAAATATTTTCGTAAATCGATGAAAAGGGTGAACGGGCGAGACAGGCAGTACTGTAATTGGCTCATTGGATACTTAGTACAAGTGTAGCCATCTATGTGTACAAACAATCAAACAAGTCGACTCACAGTGGGCATGGCATGTACGTACATGCCATCCCCGGCGGCAATGGGTTAAATTGTCATTAGAATATTTTAGACAATGAGATGATATAAAAGACCCTTTCCTAAAGTAAAAGAAAAAGGTAAACAGGTGAGATAGGTAGTTTTGATAACTGGCTATTTGGTGATTAGGAAAATGTAGAGCCATGTTAATACAATAAATAAAAGTGTATTATAGTGGGCATGGCAAGTATTCTTGCCACATGGGGCGAATGGGTTAAGTTATGTGGTGTCCCTATTGGTGGACACCAGCTCATGCTATAACCTGCCTCCCATCTCTTTCACTGTGTCCCTTTGTTCAATTTCTTGTAAGATCAAACCTATGTATACACTGTATACATAGACTTGTTCTTGCAATATCCATTGCAAATACTGGGCTGCCATTTTCATATGCAGGATCACTGTACATCAGCTACTGCCAATAGACATGACAGAATCCCTTCAGAACGAGGTTTACCCAGTTTACTGTAGAGTAGTTTTGTGGCACTCAGATTCTGTTTTTGGTGGTATTTTTGAAAATCAATGGGTTTTAAATTAGTGGTACATAGTGGGAATATTGCGATAAAAAAATTTGAGTCAGCATTTTTCCCCCCCAAAAAAATATTGTCAGTCAGGTCAACTGAACCACAGATATTGGGGGGAGGGGGGCTATACAACACAGGTGCAGCTGACACAGCCTCATATTTAATGCAAAATGACAAAAATATTCACTGGATATCACCAATCACAAACTAAGTCCACAACATCCTCACACAGCCAGAGTCCTGAATATCACCTTTTCTACAAGTCCTTTTTCTACAAATTGGCATGAGATGTTAATAAAGAGTGGGTACAGGGGGGGAGTTGTCCCCTGTCTACGGAATAAACAGTAGGGAGGAAAGATTAGGTTTGGATTTTGGGTTTCAATGACACCCCATTATTTACATATGTGTGAATAAACCATTGGGTAGAGGATATATATAAACAATCTGGTTTTGGGACTTTGTCTCTGGAGGCTGCATCACTTTTGTTAACAAATACCCTGATCTCATCTACCTATAAGCTCATCTAGCTTAATCTAATACTACATAACCTGATAGGACTACTGGTTTAGTTTTAGAGCTACCAAGAGCTGATGGTAAAATATTGACAGACAATAATTTTTACAACCTCTCCTTTTCTGGTCTTGTAAATACTGTCAGTTTGATGACATTAGCTGTATCATGCAATGCAACTTATTGTAAGAATTTAATGACTCGTGTATTAAAGTTACATGCACAACAAGACAGCAATGGATGACAGTTAACATATCCTCCTTAACAATAAAAACTATCACTTTAATGGCATAAAATACAATAAAAATTAGTAATAATAAATTAATTTCAGGTATGACATAACCTGTTAAATTTATCGACCTGAAAAACATCGGCTTATATCAAACACACATAATAACATGACTGTCTATTGAAAAGAACGTAAAAACATTCTCATACAATCACTTTCACCATCAAAACAACACCAAAATCACACGAGAGATTGATACCGAGCAGTACATAACCAGGACCAAAACACACCCGGCACACAGCAAACACACACAAACACACTCTGAACAGCTAGGCCAGACCACCAAAACCCTTTAAAAAACACCAATAACAACCCTCAAGTCATCTTCCTTCCCCACTCCCTCTCTCCTCCCTTTCCTCCTCTCCCTCGTCCCAATTACCTCGCAGACATGCAGGGTCGAAATAGATAATAAAAGTGGAAGGAGAGAAGACGCTCCAGACAGCACACTCGGCTTCCCTGCTGCCCTCACTCAAATC